GAATCTGTGATTACGGAATTGCTCTCAGCCAAGTCTAGGGGCTTATCTGTGCCCAAGAGAAACATCCACAAGTCCCTGCTGGAGAAGCTTTCTCAGCCAAGCCTCTCAGGATTCCCCCAAAGCGAGTTCAGCCAAACATTACACACACACACACACACATTCACACACACATGGAAACAAAGTGCCATGAATGAGTCAGCATGATAGTGAGCAAATGGGCTCCCACTGCTCACCATGATCTGACCCAATCAATCACACGGAGTAAGGGATTGAGAAAGGAAGCTTTAATTCAATAAGCTGGCATAATCGGGAAGATAGTAGACTCATGTCTCAAAAAAAATCATCTTCAAAAATTACAAGGGGCCAGCCCAGTGGCGTAGCGGCCCAGGGTTCGCAGGTTAGGATTCCAGGCGCACACCAATGTACTGCTTGTCAAGCCATGCTGTGGCCGCGTCCCATATAAAGTAGAGGAAGATGGGCACGGATGTTAGGTCAGGGCTAATCTTCCTCACACACACAAAAAAATTACAGAATCTTGAGGCAGTTGTATAGGGAAAACGGCCAGTGAAGAGGCGGTCCAGGGATGTTGTTCTCCAGGCGTGACGGGCTCCAGGCATCACATCCTTCCATTCTTCTGTCAGCTGTGATGCGTACCTTGTAGGTGTGTTTCCCCACTGTGGTCAGCCTGTTCCTGGAGAGCAACTCATAGAAGAAAGTTTTAATTTATCAAGCTATTGGGGAGCACATGCGTAAGTGGAGGCCATAAATCAGGAGAGCATGTGAATCATTTTAGAGTACATGCAGAGCAGCGAGTAGTCACACAGAGGAGGGGCTGGGGCCATTTGCATAACAATACGGCCTCACTTATGTTCACTTACAAGCTGAAACAAAAAGCAACTGATATTGGAATCATCAGATACAGAATATAAAATGACTATTTATGAAATATTTAAAGAAATGAAAAGTAATTGAAGGAAAAAAAAGCGAGAAACAAAAGACTATCAAAATTAGCCGGGCAATGTTAGGAACAGCCCTGGTCTCTACCCACTAGATGCCAATAGCAACCCTTCCCCCCAGGCCAACAGTCAAAATGTCTCCAGACATTGCCAACTATATCCTGGGGACCAAATCGCCTGCAGTTGAGAACGTCCTGTTCCAGAGGAAGGTACAGGATCAGACACTACATAAGCGAGTTAGATAATTGAGCAAGCAGCAAAATAACATTAAAATTTTGAAATAATATGAGACTTTGTAAAATCTAAGACATCAATTTTAAGACATCATTATTTTAGATAACACGAAGAATGAGAATACACCACAATTAAAGTGTGAATCAATGTTTTTTTCACAGCACATTGAAAGATGCAGCACAACTTTAGAGAATTTAAATGTGAAAAAGGTGCAATGAGAATTTATAAAAAATATTACTTTAATAAAACAAAACAAAATTGAGCCAGGCAGACTTGGAAAAAAAAACAAATTAGGGCTCCGCCTGGTGGCATGGTGGTTAAGTTTGCACGCTCTGCTTTGGCGGCCCCGGGGTTCACAGGTTCGGATCCCGGGCACAGACCTACACACTGCTCATCGAGCCATGCTGTGGTGGCATCACGTGTACAAAATAGAGGAAGACTGGCATAGATGTTAGCTCAGTGACAATCTTTCTCCAGCAAAAAGAGGAAGAGTGGCAACAGTCGTCGGCTCAGGGCCAATCTTCCTCACACCCCCACCCCCCCCAAAAAAGGAAAAGAAAAAAAAGAATTAAACTTCCTGAAACTTCAAGTGATAAGAAGTATATAATGATTCTAACCTCTGTGCACAGAATAAAATAGCTATATGTGTAAGTTATATGAATGTGCAAAAAAGTGACAGAATTACAAGAAGTTAACAAATCCATCAATACAATGAGATAATTGATAGGTCGAAGAGACAACAAATTAACAAGGTTATAGAAAATATGAACAACACTATTAAGTTTGATTTCATTTATTCAGCAAACGATCAAAGATCTTAAGAAGGTGAGAGTAGAAATTCATGTTGGTATCTGGGAGAAGAGCATTTCAGGCAAAGGCAACGAGAAGCGCAAAGGCCCTCAGGTGGGAGGCCGTCTGACGTGCACCAGAAACAGCATGGAGACCGATACAACTGGAGTGGAGTAAGTGAGGGGAGTAACGGTGGAAGACATGGTCAGAGGGGCGGGGCTGGGCCCAGGGGGAGGCAAGGGAGGCACGTAGGGCCTAAGTTAAGCATTCAATTTCAAGGTCATGCAACTGCCCGCCCTGCAGAGAGGAATGTGGGTGGGCAGATCACTAGGATCACGTAGACCGTTGTAAGGACCTCAGACTTTCCTCTGCTTGATAAGCAGGGTCCTGATTCTGAAGAGTGGCGTGATCCGCCTTGCGTTTTAGAGAAGCCCTCTGGAAGCCGTGTAGAGGTCAGACTGTAGGGGAACAAGGGCAAACCAGGAAGCTATTTCGGTAACAGAGAGAGGAGCTGGTGGACAAGTATCAAATCCTGCTCCCAACAACTGGAGAATGCCTGTTCTTCTCAAGCACATGTGCAAAATTTACTAAAATTGACCAGTCCATAGAGCAAGTCTTAACGAACTTCAAAGAACTACTATCAAACAGAACTCCATTTCTCAGCACAATGCAATTAAGTTAGAAATCAGTAAAAGAAAAGCATAACAGCCCCCATGTGGCTGAAAATTTAAAAACACAGTTCTAATAATTTATGGATCAAAAAATCATGTGGGAATAAGAACATACTTAGAACCAAACAATAATGAAAATATAAACACGGTATCAAAAGTTGTGGGATGCAGCTAAAGCCATACCTGATGGAAAGCTAAGATCTTAAAAGTTTATATTAGAAAAAATGAAAAGTATTAACGAGTTACAAGTATAACAAGAAGTTAAAAAAGGACATAGAATAAACCAAAGAAAGTAGAAGGAAGGAGATAATAAAGATAGGAACAGAAATAACAGAGATAACAGAATAAAAGAGAAACAAAGAAATGCTAGGGATCAGGCCCCTAATGAAGGTTATGCACCCTGTGCTTTCTGCCCTGCACAAAAGCACCTGGCTGAGTAGGGCCAACCTAACCTTGTCCTAGAAAAAAGGCAGTGTTTTTCAATTCATCCACCTGGTGGGAACCATCTACTTTTTTTCCCTTTTAAATAGACTTGATCTTTAGAGCAGTTTTAGGTTTGCAGCAAAATTGAGCACAAAGTACAGAGTTCCCACATACACTTTGCCCCTCAACATGCACAGCCTCCCCCACTATTAAGCACCAGAGTGGTACATTTGTTACAAGCAACAAGCCTACGTTGTCACGTTATTATCAAAGTCCATAGGGTTCACTCCTGGTTTTGTACATTCTATGGGTTTTGACAAGTGCAGAATGGCCTGTATCCACCATCATAGTTCACACAGAATAGTTTCACTGCCTAAAAATCCCATGCTCTGCCTGTTCACCTTTCCCTCCTTCCTAAACCCTGGCAACCACTGGTCTTTTTACTGTCTCCACAGTTTTGCCTTTTCCAGAATGTCATATAGTTGGAATCATACACTACATAGCCTTTTCAGATTGGCTTCTTTAGTAAACATGCATTTGAGCTTCCTCCGCATATTTTCATGGCTTGATAGTTCATTTCTTTTCAGCACTGAATAATACTCCATCATCTGAATGTTCCCCAGTTTACTTATCCATTCACCTACTGAAGTACATCTCGATTGCTTCCAAGTTTTGGCAATTATGAATAAAGCTGCTACGAACATCCGTGTACAGGTTTTTGTTTTCAACTTATTTGGGTAAATATCACGGAACACAATTGCTGGATTGTGTGGTAAGAGTACTTTAGTTTTGTAAGAAGCCACCTAATTGTCTTCCAGAGTGGCTGCACCATTTTGCATTGCCTCCAGCAATGAATGCGAGTTCCTGTTGTTCCACATCCTCGCCAGTATTTGGTGTTGCCAGTATTCTGGATTTTGGACATTCTAATAAGTGTGTAGTCGTATCTCGTTGTTTAAGCCATTTATCTTTAGTCATACAAAAAAATTTATGAGCTAGCTGCCTCTGATACATCAAGAAAGCCCCAAAGACGGATTTTTACAAGAGCAACCAAAATATAAAGAACCCGAGAAAAGTCTAGACCAAAGATATACACTTTGCCTATGTCGGTGCTTGGTATTTACAAAGCCTTGTCATAGTTATTGTTTCTCTTAATCCTTAACTCCCCCATATTCAAAACTAAGACTTGTGACCATTTAACTGGCTGAAAAACAGAAGCCAAACCTATACAGCATTTGCGCAAACAGGATTCCTGACATTTGTATTGCTCTATTGTGATGGGGTCAACAGGCTAGAAAATTATCTTTCCTTAGAAGCTTATGTTGAGTGAATGTTAAAACAAATCTACTAACGTGTGCCAAGCTCTGCTCAGGGCATTCGGGACACAGAGCTGAATAAAAAGACTCCAGGAGCCCTCAATGGGGTAAAAGGTGTGAAGGATAGTCAACAACGGCTCTTTCAACATAAACTGAGCTTTGGGTCTGGTGGGGCCTCAAGATGTATCCTACTAGGCCTTTTACCGGGAGGTGTGGGGACCCCGGTCTGGTGAAGAGACACCCAGACACTCCCGACTGTAATCCAAGGAAGAACGGAAATCAGACTCGAAGCCGGCTGGGAGGGGTCCGGTCGCCGTACTCAAGAGGAAGGGGCCATTAGCCCCAGGATGTCAAAGCCTTTGAGCACATTATTACGCAGTATCTTCCTCGTTTAGCGCCGGAAGACGGTATTTACCTCTTAAAACTATGCAACCTCCGGGCTCGACCAGCCCCCTAGGAGGAGCGTGCACCCAGCGCCGCTCGCCCCCACGGCCAGGGCAGCAGCGGGGGCAGCACTAGCGGGCGAGGGGGAAGGGGGAACCAGGGCGAGCGTGCGCGCGAGCGCGGCGGGGCAGGCTGTGCGCCCTCCGTTGACGTGCGCGCGCCCGCACCTACTTCTACCAGCGCGTGACCGTAAAGAGACACGGCCGAGTCGTGAAAGGGGCCGCAACACGCAGGGCGCTGGTTGACGGCGGCGACTCCATTTTGTTCGCCGCCTCTCTGCTCGTAAGTCGCTTGTTTGCGTGGTTTCTCTGAGGCGAAAAGTTTAAAAAGGGTGAAAGTTTTGAAGAATATTCTGGAACTCCGTGGGTAAGCCTAGCGCGTCTCCATTTTGTCTCTGCAGCAGACGTCGGTCCTGCGGTTGCAGAGTAGCGGGAAGATGCGGCCCTTGGACGTCGTCGAGCTGGCCGAGCCGGAGGAGGTGGAGGTGCTGGAGCCCGAGGAGGACTTCGAGCAGTTCCTGCTGCCGGTCATCAACGAGATGCGGGAGGACATCGCGGCGCTCACCCGGGAGCACGGGCGGGCGCAGCTGCGCAACCGGAGCAAGCTGTGGGAGATGGACAATATGCTCATCCAGATCAAGACGCAGGTGGAGGCCTCGGAGGAGAGCGCCCTGAACCACCTGCAGGCGCCGGGCGACGGCGGCGAGGGCAGGGGCACGCGGCGGGGCGAGCGCGCCGAGGAGAAGGCGCAGGAGGTCGCGAAGATGGCCGAGATGCTGGTGGAGCTGGTGCGGCGGCTGGAGAGGAGCGAGTCGTCGTGAGCGGCCGCGGTGAGGCCCGCGCGCGCGGCTGTGGCTGGCTCAGCCCGCGTGCATCCTGGGTGCAGTCAGCCGTGGTTCACGCGGGCGGGAGGCGCGGGGGGAGAAACGTGCGCAGCGTTGCCCTCGGGCGCTGTTAGCACAGACGTTTAAATTCTCTCTCTTTACATTGGTAATTACGGAAAAGTAGGTGGGTTTGTGTTTGGCTGGGTGTGAGTTTGGTTGAACCCTGACGTCCCGGGCAGTAGAGTAGCTGTAGAATATCGACCCTGAAAGTCGCGAAGGGAACAGCAGCACAGCGGAGGCCGTTGAGCGGGGGGAGTGGAACTAGAGGACTTTCAGAGGGAAGACCGTTGCTGGACAATTCCGGAGTCGGCTGGAAGACGGGAATGAGTCGGAGGGCACCAGGTGGCGTCCTGCGTAGTTAGGTTTGTGAGGGTTTGGGTTGGTCTTTCCTTCGGGATTAATCTCTTGATGATGGGTTTCTCCCGGTTGCGCTCTAGGTCCGCAGCCAGTGGATTCTGGTCAACTGGTGGAGATTGGCTGACGCCCTGGAGAAGCTGAACCCAGAGAGCCTTTGTTTTCTCTTTTTTTCCCCTGTCTAAGCTCTGTCCTCACTTACACTACGTTTCTGCTATGGTTTGTGGTTGACGACCTCAATATGAGTTCTGACTGTTAAACGTTTTTGTTTGGGGAAGTTACTTTCATTTGGAAACGCGCTCACATAACAAGAATTAGGGCCTAGATTGTAAGCTCTTGCAGCAGTCACGTATTCCTGGGCTTTGGTTATTTCTGAATTTTGAGGTGCTTTGCTCTTTCTTGTGTGATCTGATAGCTCCCTGGAACTTTGGGTCTGTGTGTGACACGAGACTCAGAGTTGGAGTTCTCCGGCTCTGGCGGTGGTGAAGGAGCTGCGTTACTTCCAGAAGACAACTCTATGCAGCAGCTGAAGCTGAGGAGGGGACCAGACTTCAACTGGAATGTGGATGGGGCTGATCTGGCTGGGACTGACGAATCAGAAGGGGTGGAGAATAGCATTGTTTGTATTTGGGGACTCTAATTTCTGTGTGAGACCAAAGGAGGAGAGATGTATTTTGTTCAAAATTTAAATTTTATGTGGCACACTCTCTGACGTAACCTGTCTAGTCAGTTTGTTTGGACAACCTAATTCAGCTTTATTTGACCTGGAATTTAGCCTAGAAGATGAGATCTTGGTATTCTCTACAAGTTGATGTAATACCCTGATGCATTTCAGTGGATTCTGGGCATAAAATGAAAGATACCTACACAGGCCCTTGAGGGGCTGGGCAAGGAAGGCAAGGGCTGTCTGCATTGGACGCTAAACTGGACGGGGACTAGGCATCTTCAAGGTTCGTAAGTTGTCCAGCTAGAAATTCATTTGAGTAGCAGACCTGACAAGTTTTTGAGGTCAAAACCCTACCATGTATTTAAAAAAAAAAAAAAATTACCATGTTAATAAAAGTATTCATTTGCTTGAAAAGACAAAAGACCTAAAAAGTTATTGACTAAGAAATTTTATTTCTTTCACAATGAAGTCTTTCTGCTTGGTTGTCATCATTGCCAGACGGAAGATGAATTTTTTATGGTTTTTGAGGCTTGCAGGAAGCCTCTAACCATAGGGAAGATTTATCTTTACATGCTGCTGTGGGAACTGGGTGCGGAAAGAACACAGTCAGTTCTTCGTGTAGCAAGGAGCTTCATATAATCCTGTGGTCGGGGCCAAAGTACTTCAGCCTTTCAACGCAGAAAATTGGAACATACACTTTTCTAGTCCTTGCACTAGGAGTATAGTGGTAAGACGTAATTATAGTGTGGTGGTGGACTGCTCCCCTTCAGAAATGAGGGACTTAGTCCCCCAGCTGCTGGAAGTGTTGGTGACAGACAGCTTTCAGCTGGTCAGCTGTCTGAGAAGTGCCTCTGCCTAAGAGAGCTGCCTTAGCCAAAGTCATGCCCTCTTTCCCTGGTGGCCCATATCCAGTGATTAATGGACTGCATGTCTGAGGGCCCTGTCCCTCGCACTGCAACTTGGGACAACTTTGAAGGGCACGTTAGCTTCAGAGCTCTCTGGGGTCTGCTGAGGCTTTTGCTAGGTCTGCGTCATAGCCCCGCTCCTCCCTCTGCCCAGTCTGGTGTCCCTCCCGTTCCACGGGATTAATCGCTAATAAATTTGCCTGTGCTGTAATGTTCATCTGCTACCCGAGGAACCCAGTTAGTGAATGTAAAACAGTACAAAACCATGTGTCACCAGCTAGATACTGTGTCTCAGGAGAACACTGATCAAGGAAAGCCTTTCAGAGCAAGTAACTGGTGAACTTGGCCTTGAAGGGTGACATTGTTCCTTGTTCCAAAGACAAGGAGAGAAGGAGGGACTTCCCAGGCACAGAGAACAGTGACAAAATGCCAGAAGTTCAAAAATTTTTGTGTGACTTCCGGTAGTGGGGAGAAATGGGTAGGATAGAATTATGAACCAAGAAACAACCACCACCAAAAAAGCTACATTGGTACATTTGCCCAAACTAGGATATTAACACTGATTCAACACTACTAACTAGACTACAGACTTTATTCTGATTTCACCAATTATCCACTAATGCCCTTTTTCTGTTTCAGGATACCACATTGCATTTGGTAATTGGTTTTTAAAATAGGTAATACAAATGGTACAAAATTCAAAAGATAGAAAAGTGATTCCTCTCCTCAGCTTCCCACTCCCCCTCTGGGAAGACAACTATTTGCCAGTGTCATATATCCTTCTAAATATTATGCATGTTTGAGCGTATACATATATAATTCTCCCCAACTTTTTTTTGCATAAGTGGTAGCACACTATATAACCTGTGAGTGATGTTCTTTTTGTGTTGTTTTTTGGCAAGTCTTACCCTATCTAAACATCTAGATCTGCATTGTTTTTCTTAATGGCTTCATAGTACTCATTGTTCATTGTGCTATAAATTGTTAACTAGAGGTGATTCTTACACAAAAGTTTGAGAATTATTGTCTTAAGTTCTTTTCAGTAACTCTTTAGTTCTTGTGATTTGTCACAGTTACAAAGCCACCAATTCTCAATTTCCCTAGTTCCTGAAGTCTTTCCTGGCTTGTTAGCAATTGGAGGAACAATCAAATCTCTTGCATTTTCTAAGCAAAGAATGTGATAAGGAGCCATTCTGAGAGTCAGACTTACTCAGTAATCACTAAATTGAGTATGGTGAGGGTTGCCAGAATTTTATTGTAGATCCATATGTCCCTCATGAGCCCCAGGCTCTCTGTCCCTCCTGGCTGGCCTTCAAGTTCAGGTCATGGACAGCTGTGCAGAAAGGCCTCTTGGGGTTCTTGGACAGGTTCCTGACACTGCAGAGGCAACCTGAAGCTGGGACCTATCTTTGCTGAGGTGTTTCAAGTGTGACAAGTGTCCTTTTATATCAAAGTGCTATTACAGAAAGAAGCATGGGGGCTGTGGGAGCATGGAGGATTATATAACAAGCTCCGATGAGAAATGGAGGCAAAGTAGGCAGAATGTTCAAAATCCACTGGTCTGATACTTGGTCAGTCAGGCTGGGGAGACCACAAAGTAGTACCCACAAAGGCTTCTGTATCTGGATGTTTCATCAGCTGAGGTGACCCCGGGGAAGAAAGCAAATTCAGTTCTAGTGGACATTATGGTAGGCCCAGCACCAGCCCAAGGACACAATCAACACTTTGGGGAGCATTAACGAAAGTCTGACTCCAGGTGGAGGTGAGGACAGTCCGAAGAGTTCTTAACCTTGCTGAAGATAAAACCTCAGAGTCCAGGCTGCCATGAAACAGGGGCCATGAAACAAGACCTGGCTCCCACTCATCCTGCTACTGCTCGCTGTGTGGTCTTGAGCAGATACTGGCTTGTCTCTGAGGTTCCTTCCAACCCTGGCATTCTGTATGACTTCTGGGACTAAAGCTTACCTGGCATAAACTGATCACCAAATTCCAATTCTCCACCCTCCAGGCACATAGTAGGATTGTACTTCCTCAGCCCCTTGTGGTGGTGGTGGTGTGTGTGTGTGAGAGAGACTAATTCTGTCCAATGAGTTGTGAGAGGAAGTAACATATGTCACATCCAAGCGAAAACCTCCAACATGAGACCCTCCAAACCTCTCTTCCCTCTGACACAGCGACCAGCAACATTCAAGATGGTGGTTGATCATCAGCCAGTTCCTCTGATGAGCGTAGTTCCTCAGCCAACCTATGATGAACATGTAGCACAAACAAGGAAAAAGCTTAGCTGTTTTAAGCCACTGAGATTTGGAGATGGTTTGTTATGATGGCATAACCTAGACTAAGATGATTGATACTTTCATCCTTTCTTCTTTTCCTTGCTTTGTGATGAAAGGTTTATCCTTCCTTCTCTCTGAGGCCTATATCCTTGTTTGTCATCACATCACATCACTCACTCAGGGCATTGTCCAGTAAATGATCTCCTTTCTCACTCATTCATTTGTATCTGTTCATTCTCCTCTGGCTTCTAATGACTCCAAGGTGAAAGAAAGCCCAAATTCAAGTCCCTGGCCCTGGACCCCCTCTCCCTCCCAGGCAGCAGATAAACATGGAATGACTTGAGTGTCCATTATCTTCCAAAGATAAGTGGGGATTTGTCATCTGGCTAACACTGTGGCCAGATAAACATAAATCCATCCACAGTTTGCTTCAGTTGCTGCAAAATAAGACCCTCCCCTGGTCAATTCTGTTTTCCCCTTCTCTGATCCCCATAATGTTATGTAGTTCCTTTCTCCTGATGTATATCCCCATTCCTCCTTCCTTCAAACTCTATTCCTTGATTCACAAAATCCTCCATTCTGTTATTCTCCAACTCATCTATATTACTCTTTGCCTCTTCGAAGAATGTTTCTTACCACCTATAATAGCTGAGACTAGACTCTCCCAAGCCCTGGGCTTTCCTGCAGCCTCGTTGGTGACGGTCCCTAGCAGCACTCAACTGACCAAGGGCTGCGTTGTTGAGGGCGGAGTGAAGACAAAAGAGGAAAGAAGAGGAGTAAGAGGTTAGGGTTCTGACGAGGACGTTGTTGCAGCAATGGAGCATGTACACAAAATGGATCAGTGGGGAAATGAGCAGGAGAGCTACAGGAGAAAGTAGCTAGTTAAAGTGAATTCAGGGGTCAGTGAGGTTAAAACACAAGGTGTTAGTGATTGTGGTGAAAGTGTCACCTGGAAGCATGGGGATGTGGTCAGCAAAGAGGAGGGCTGAGCAGGTATTGAGCAAATTTGAGGTGACAGCAAGCAAGCCCCAAGTCACCCTTGGGAATGAGTGGTCAAGGGGCATGGAGGAGCTCATTGGATATGAGGAGGCTGAGGGCCTGGGGGCTCAGGTGTGGGATGGTGGCCATGTGAGCATGGCACTCCCCCAGGAGGATGGCAGGACGTGCGGTGGAGAGAAAGGCCAGGAGCCAAGTGCCAAAGCCTGCAATGAATGAGGGGGACCCACCAGAGGGGAGTTGGAGGATGACAAAGGTAAGGAAGGGGAGAGGGGGTCAGATGAGCATCCAGTGCTCCAAAGGAGCATTGCTTTAGACAAGAGGGAGGGCAAGGAGTGGTGTAGCAATCGCCAGGAGAGAAGGCTGACCCCAACTCCTGACAGAGGCACCAGGGACATGGGGAAATGAGTGGCTTTCCTTTCCCAGGCCTGGGATGAAGTGGCACAATTCTCTGGGAACAGTCCAGCAAGGGCAAAGTGGGGCTAGAGACCAGGACTTCTCCAAGAAGTGGGGCACATGCTGGCACTGGCTCACCAGTTCCCACAGGCCCAGGAATGGGTTCGGCAGGTGGAGAGGAGTGGAGAGCATTACGGGAAACTTATCATAAGAATAGCACCATAGGTTCATTTCTACTTGGTTCATCAATGGGAGAATCGGGTGACAGGCATGGGAAAGTTAGTCCTGAACTTAGTCTCTCTGAGGGGGGACTGGCATGGCCTTGGTGTGACCACTATGGTAGAGCCAAAGAAGTGGCAACGGAGGCTGTCGCTCAACTGTGCTTCCTGCAGTAGCTTCTTTGAAGATCTCAGAGGCCACCACTACTGGTCATTTAGGGTTGAAAATGGCAAGGGTTTTGCATCTCAAACTGAAACAGTTATAAGAGATGGCTCCAGAAGAAGCCTTCTTAGAGATGAGATAAGATTGAGGCCCCAGGATTTTCTCAAGCACCTCCTTTAAGAGTTCTTCCCCAGACAGTGGGTGCCAGTCAAGCGGCAAAGACTAGATTACAACTGTCACCTTCCTATCAAAGCCATTTGTTCCACATGGACACCATTGAGTTGACAGAGTAGGAGAAGGACTGAGCACAGAGACCAGTAAATAAAAAACTAGAGTCTTCACAAGATTTTTGGCTGTGATTACCTACACGTTGGAACTGACTGAAAGTAAACAGGAAGCATCCTAGAGTTTTGAAGAAATTATATTGCCAAAGAAATTCCAAGCCGGGTGTGCTGA